GTATTTAAGGTTTTCACCTATCGTAAAGGGGTTTCCCGATATTCCGTGATATATAAGAAATCTGGTAAGTGTTCTAAATTTGTGGATATCGACTTCAAATTTTTATTTTGTCGAACATCCAGCACTTCGACATTCGACACATCAAACCGCGCTATAAAAATAACTGAGACACTACCTGAAAGCGTCCAAAATGGGATGCAGTTGACTCGTTCGGTATGTTAAGTTTGCAATATTTTGTCAAAAAGGATCTTAAATTGTCGGAACACTGTTGGGAAAAAAAGGTACTTTATTTCTCAATAAAACACGAAAAATTTAATATATTCGTTTTGTACAAAACGGATAAGAATGCAAAAAAATGGATTTTGCACTTTTTCTTTACTCTAAAAATTCTATCAATTCTATCTACCTATTATGCACAACATATATTCAATTTTAATTTTCAGGGTACAACGAAACTCCAGATAACAAAAATAAACGTCAAATAAACAAAACTACCATTAAAAACTAAAAATAAATGTTAAATTCCCGGGTCCCGTATATCTGGGATACGAAAAACGATAGCAAAATTCGCCACTGATATTAGTTCTGATTCGTCTTGTCAGCGGATATCCTTATCACGAATTAATGGCTTATCGAACCCATTCGGTTTTTGATTGCAGCTGGTTAAATACGTCGCTTTGCTTTTATTTTTTCCCTGCCGCAGCTGTTTTCCTCGGAATTAGTTATTGGGCGGCAATCATAAGTTCTATAAAGTAAAAAATATTCTATCATCGATTTTGATTTATGAGCAAACGTGCTTGCAACTTAAAAAAATAGCCTCGAATGACTGGAAACAATTCGCAGTTTTTAAACAGTTTGAGAAATTTACACACAAAGAAGCAAGGGCATGTTCGCCGGTATCGTTCAAATGTGACGACCTCGTATTAAAGGTCATAATAAACAAATTTTTAATTTGGCAATCGTCTACGCTGTTTTAGACGCATTTTCAATAGTTTAATCTGTTGTTTTTGGTTCGGTTTTGTCGTCGATAACGTAAACACTCGGCAATGTCGCAGTCTAGATTTGCTTAGAGACATTGGATAAATATTTGCTCGTAAATTATTATACCGGCTGATCTAAGTGTAACTTTGCTATGAGTAGAGATACAAAGTCAATTAAAGTAGCAAACTAGTAGCACGCCACTGATTACGATGGTGAAAACAGAAAAACAATTCAATGTAGGGTTTGCGAAAAAATTTACCCTTGTAAAATGGAACGCTCTATATATTTTTTACTCTAACGATTGCAAATCACAAGCCGAACAAAAAGGACAAATTATCACCATATTTCTCGCTTAGACTAAATGGCTATGCGTGGTTGCGAAATAAAGCTCCATTTTCTTTTTATTGTTTTATTTGGGCCCAAGGATCAATAATAATAACACAAATTTCAACATCTTCATTTATTATAAATCATTTTCGTCTCCGTATATCAAAAACGGTTTCATTACTCCTAGAGATTCGATAAAGGTGCAGCAAAAATTATTCAAAGAAGGCTGTGGAAAATAATGACAGCCTTGCCAAATAGAAAACTGGTTGTCACAAAATTAGTTTAAAAAATGTTAATTGTTAGTATTTTCATATAAATTGTTATCATTTAAATTAAGTTTACTTATTCGGGAAAGTGCGACATGTTAGAAAGCTATTTGGCATGAAGTAAATCGTCTGCAAAGGCAAGAAAACGATGCATAAAAGTATATCCACAGCGCGTGCCACCACATGAACAATTTTTTCTGCCTCTTTATCGAATCGTTAGAAAGACGTGGAAATTGGTGTTCATAGATATTTTGAAGCGTATTCTATTCGAGACATAGTCAAAGATTCCAACCTATCCTTTTATACTGTCCAAAGGATTTGAAAAAAAAAACACAAATTTTGTTCTTAAAAATTCCAGGTACTTTTGGCAGTGGAGCCAGAGAGAAAACTTTTTGTTTCAATGCCAAAACATAAATAATTTTCAGGATATTTTGAATACTGACGCTTCAAATTCTGGAATTTATAATACAAAAAATCATAATTATTTGTCAAGAGAAAATTTGTTGCTAGTACATGCCTCAGGTCCACAAGTTTGTGTCAGCTTGGACGTTTAGTGCGGTGTAGTCGTTCATCGAATTATTAGTCCATATTTTTAATATGGCACGCTAGCCGCCATTGCAATTGTTACTGAAATTCTGAATGGCTTTCGAGATGAGCTTGACCTCATAAGTAGGCAGAATATCCGTTTCATTGACAACCATTCTCAACACAATTAAATTAGAACAAAAAATGTTCAAATTTTCACTTTTATTCAATGATTTATGACAGCTATTTCTGCAACACCGCAATTTTACAAAATATGAGCAATATTATTATAGATTTTTAATTAGAGGTGTAGGGTTATAAATTTAAATTTAACAACATTTAAATCAAATCCCATTATGTAAAATATCAAAATTATCGTCAAACTTGTGCGCTTCTGAATTTACATAAATAGTTAGAATCCCAGCTTTTATTTTTATACACTCTTTTATGTTTGTTAATGCGTTTTTTAAATATTTGTCCGATATAAATTTTGATAGAGAGAGAGAGAAAGAGTTCAGAGTTATTTGAAACTACTTTTTGGTTATAATCTTAACTATCAAAGAGGGCTCGTAACCATTGTTAATAGCTATTTGTTTTATAACATTTAATTCTTTTTCAAAATTTTCTGTGGAAAGTGGTATATTAAGTAGGCTGTGGATAAAAGCATAAAAGGCAGCCATTTTGTTTGTATAAGGGTGATTTGAGTCATTATGTATTACTGTGTCCGTGTGTGAGGGTTTATTTAGGGTTAGGGTTAGGGTTAAGTGCAGAAAGTTTAGAGAGTTATCTATTTCTGTGTCTACGGTCAATTTGATAAGGTATGTATGCAGTTAATATGCTTCAAAAAAGACAACAAAACAAGCAAAAACATCATCTACGTATCTATACCACCAGAGAAATCTTTTACTGGGAGGATGTTTATGTATGATGTTTTCTAAATTGTCCATGAAAATTTCTGCCAGTAGTAGACTAAGTGGGTTTCCCATAATAAATCCTTTTTTAGAAATATGAATTTGACCATTAAATTCGAAATAATTTTGAATTGAAACTAGAATCGCCATGGGAGGAATTTTAATGTCTTCACCCTTGTTAATTAGTTCGAATGAATTTTTGATAGCATCTAGGTATAAAGGCAGTATGATATTCTAAAATTTTTATTAATTTTGACAACTGATAGGGTTAGAAAAGAAACTACCGGCCATATTAGCATATCCGGTTTGTGTGATTTAGTTAAAGAATATAACGTTGGAGGTTGAGAATTCATGATTCTTAACGGGTATTTCACTGTCATTAAAAAGTGATGAGTCAGTAATTACAGTTTTAATTTGTTTTTGATATACTTCGTTGGGATCATATAGTATGCTTTGGTATGTCTGGTTTAAGAAACTGTTTGGTTTTTGCAAGATATTCTAGAGAATCGATTGCAATGACTCTCTTTTATTCATCTGCTCTTATATTATTTTGGGAAGCCGTATTTTTGATTGATTTTACAATAGACAAATGTGAAAGATCCTGGAGTTTACTGCCAGTTTTAAGTTGAGATTTTATTAAATTGGCTAATACGGGTTTGTTTACGATATTGTCGTTATTACCTTTAATAGCAACTTCGTAATCAAACCATAAACAACTTAACTCTTTATTGGCGAAAAAGAGCGTGTAATATTATAAGTTAGGATTCTAATTATGCCAAAACCAAACCAAATTTGTTGTAAGCTATTTAGATTAACAGAATGAGAAATTCGAATCTGTTATTTAATGACAGATTGGATTTAAATTTATAACACTACACCGAAAATTAAAAATGTATTACTACCTGCTTATTTACATATACATATAGATGTCGGAATGTTGCCATATTTTATATTTGATAAACGCACAGTGTTGCCGAAACTGCTGTCTAAAATCATTAATTAGCTGTGAAAATCTGAATATTGTTTGTTATAATTTATTTGTGTTAAATAGATTTTCATCAATTAAAAGCCACCTCAGTCCAACCATTTTCAACAATAAACGGATTGCTAGAATTGGACTTATTCCTTGGCCTAAATAGGTCACGAGATATAACCCCAATTGATTTCTATTTGTGGGGTTATTAGTGTAATTTAATAAGATCATAGCGATCTAAATAAACAAAACAAAATTATATTATTACCAAAACTGTCTGCCCTAATGTTGTGGTCCTTAAATATCTACCGAAGTCGACAACTTCAATTTATTGCCGTTGGTAGGTAACTTCCATAATTGTGGGTAAAAGCCAACACGATGAAGATTATGATAGACCTGATTGTATGGAGATCTAATAGTACACCAAAATTTGTTCCAGAATTTTATATTATACAGAGCTTCGCTATAGGGAGTTTTCACAGTATATGATAAACTTATTAAAAGTTGTAGGTTTTTGTAAAATTCCATCAGAAAAAATAATACTTTATATGTGCCATATGAGAAAATCGAGATTTTTGAATTTAAAATGATCCAAATATATTAGTGTTTTTTAAGCAACCGGTAGCATTTCATTCAAGTTCCGTTACATATATCAGATATCAGGTTTAGGTATGCATTTTTGTTAATGTAAAAGTAGGAGAATTTTAAAAGGAATTCAAACCAAAATATAAAAATGGTGTGTTCCATTAAAAAAAAAGTTTTATTGCGTTAATTTGAAATTATGGATCCGGAAATTTTTACAACTTTTGTATTTTCAATTTTCCCATAACTTTTGAAACCAACGCGACAATAAACTTCAATCTATCGTTGACTTACTTTTTATATATTTATGTTACGCAGTTAGAGTAAATATTTAATTGGGATATTTTATACGTTAATCTGAAATTGCGATTCGATGTACGATCCAAAAATCAGTGAACGTATTTGACATTTGATGATCTTGTGTGATTTTTTTAGGGGATTTCGGCAATTATCAAGCATGGCAGTTCACGCTTCATATTTTGTCGGCTGTCACAGCTGGCCTCAACATGTTGTCACTGGTAACGGTTGCTGCTGTCCCAGATCACCGGTAAGTCCCTCGAAGTAGTTCAATCCACTTCCATTATTTTTTAGAAGGTTTTTTAACAATGAAAAAATAAATCTAAACTTCAAACTTTTTAATTATAGTCTTTTTATATTTTTTTGATTCCGTCATTCTTAAAATAAACGTTGGGTCATTTGGTTCCCTCCTTTCCCCTATGTTCCAAGTTTCGACGATTTTCCATCATTTTCAGGTGCCAATTGCCGGGGGAAAACACGACGATGATATACAGAAACGACTCTGTATTGTCGCAATACATTCCAAGGGTATCGGACGAGAGATTTGACAGCTGTTTGCTGTTAAATTCGACCACTAATTCCAGCTTTAGGTGCAATTCGTGGACGTACGACGACCTGTACTACAAGTCGTCTCGTGCGATAGAATGGGACTTTGTCTGTGATCGAAGGTGAGATAGAATATGACAATTAACATTATGACATCATTAATTATCGTTATTAATTATACGAGGGTCGAGAAAACGATGTTTTTAATTTTTCTTTTTCTGCTTTGTTTTTCAATCTAACGATGTTCTAATTTCGTTATACCAGTTTTAAACGTAGATTCTGTCAAGCTCCTCAAAATACTAATTTGCAGCTTCGATAACTATAACTGCTTCGTTGCTCTTAAATCTTTTATTTATTTATTCATTTACGGTTTAACCAATTCACAAAACTTTTACATTCATTAAAGGCAAAGAGAGAAAGGCAGCAGTATAACAATTAGAAACGAGAACAAAATGTAACATTAACAATAAATAGAATTAAGTGGCAGCACTCAAGCGGAACACATCAGAACGGAATGAGCGGAGGCAGCCGACAAACCAGTTGCGCTCTTTCAGCATTCTAGTATGGGGTGAATAAATTCCATAATTTGAGCGATGGTAAGGTATGCGTAAAGTGACCATACGTCCCGTTTTGAACGGGACTGTCCATTTTATAGGTCACCTGTCCCGTTGTCCCCAAACAAAGCTCCGGGACGCAAAATTGTCCCGTTTTGTGAAACAGCGCGAAAATTTAAATCATGTAGCTCACGACACACGCTCGGGCGGGGATTCACAGACGATTCGCATCACTGTCGATCGGTGATTCCCCCCGCCCGCCCGCGCACGCTGTTCGTTACTGTTTATTGTTTATTAGGCTATTCACGCGCACGCACTCAGACTTCTCGTTATTGTTTTGTTTTTACGTAACGTTTGTGAAGTAGTTTAGTGATAAACTGCTATATAATTATTTTTTTATATTGTTTTGGATTTTTGCCTATAGTTATGCCGAAACGCAAGCGTTCATTTAATCTCAACTTACAAGCAAAATACCCTTTTATTAAGCAAACTAATACGCCTTCAGATGTCAGATGCGAAAAGTGTCGCACAGAGTTTAGTGTTTCCCGTAGTGGTGCTGGTGATATTGAACAGCATTTGAAGTCAGAAAAACATAAAAATGCCGATCGTGCCGCTGCTTCCAATTCTTCAATGTTAAACTTTTTCAAGAACCCAAACGCGCCAACTTCAAAGGATTTGGATATTGCTGCTGCAGAGGGCGTCTGGGTTTATCACACCATACAAGAAAACCGCAGTTTTCGTTCCGAAATTCACATGCGCGCGTACAAAAACCGAAGCTATTGTGGTAAATGTTTTAGGGCGTTCAGCGATCGACAGTTTAAAAGATGATCTTAATAAGTCCAATTGTATAACAATTTTAAACGACGCTTCAAACCACGGTAACAAAAAAATTTATCCTTTCGTAGTGCGCTTTTTTCAACCTTATGAAGGTGTGCAAGTAAAACTTTTAGACATCCAAGAGCAACCAGGTGAAACTTCTGACATCATTGTAGATTATTTACATCAAGTATTAATAGATAATAATTTGACAAAAAAAGTCGTGGCATTTTGTGGTGACAATGCTAATGTCAATTTTGGAGGTGTAGCTAGGCGAGGAACTAACAATGTATTAGCCAAGTTACAATCATCTCTGAAAAAACCGTTGATAGGTATTGGATGTGGAGCCCATATAATTCACAATGCAATAAAATCCGCTGCAGATGATCTACCTTTAGACTACGAAAGCATTATTGTCAAAATATATTCATTTTTTTATATTTACACGGTTCGAGTGGAAGCTCTCAAGGAGTTTTGCGCTGAAGCTGAAGTAGAACATCACCAAATGCTTGACTACAGTAAAACCAGGTGGCTTGCGCTTATGCTTGCTTTGGAGAGAGTTTTAAAAATGTTCCAACCGTTAAAAGACTATTTTTTGAGCATTGAAAAATGTCCCAAATTGTTGAAATTCTTTTTTGAAGATCCCACGTCAGAATTTTGGCTTAATTTTTTACACGCTCAGTCAGCAAGTTTTCGTCAAGCTGCATTGAAGGTCGAGGGTCAGACTGTATCGGCATTTGATGCGGCAAAATAAATCAATCATCTCAAAGACAATTTGGCACAGAAACAGATGAACCGGTTTCTTCCATTTACTGTTCGTAGTTTAATTGTGAAGCTAAAAGATAATCGCACTAATATTAATGAAGACTTGGTGAAAAATACGGCAACAGAATTATATAAAACTAGCCGTGCATACTTGGAACAGTAGACTTGCTTTTTTACTAAAGAAATAGAGATATTTAATTGGGCAGATTTAAGAAAAGTACTCGCGTGGGAAGATATTCAAAACGCAGTGGATATATTGATTGAAAAGGGATATATTCACTGTAATAAAGATACAGAAGTATTTGACGAATTCACATTAATTTCAAACTACGTCACTACCCAAAAAATTACCGAATGGGGTAATTTAAAAGTCTCAACAGAAACTCGTTGGATGGAAGTATTCAAACACTTTCGTTCTAACAATCTTAAACATGAAAATTTTTGCATTTTAATTGAATACATTTTATGTCTACCTGGAACAAATGCTCCAGTAGAAAGAGTGGACATCCGAAAAAAATCATTTACAGGTTCCAGTGTTGAAAGCGATGTTGATAACTAAGGTTAATGTAAAAAAAACGTGCCAAGAATTTTATTCTTATTTAAAGTCATCGCAAACTTTATTAAAGCAAATTTGTTCCTCTGAAAAGTATAAAAACAATTTAAAAAAAATGCGTTGCATAGATTTTAATAATTATTGACAGATCAAAGTTCCTTGATTAGTAAAGCTGGTGATCGATTTTACTTTTTCACTACTTATTATTTTTTTAATTACTTAATTAATATGAAAAGAATTATAGTGTATAATTCCATTAAGTAACACTTATTCTAAATAAAGAAAATTAAAAAGTTGTTTTTATTTTCTTTGTTAGCCTGAAGGCTAAATGTAAATGTCTGGCGGGAAATTTAAATTTTAAACTGTTTTTAAATATCGATTTAGAGTAACTTCAATAAATATTTTTTATTGTCGGGAAACACTATCTAAGTTTTGCCTAATTTGCCTACAATTAAAAAAAAATACTGTTTAAAATTTGAATTTCCCGCCAGACGTTTAACCTGAAGCTTAATTTTTTTTGTCCCGTTTTGAGATAAAAAATAAATGGTCACTTTAGGTATGCGGAACATTGAGTTATCACAGCTTCTGTAATATGCGTTAAATGGTATGCTATGCAAAAGAGCTAGACAATAATATCAACCATTCAGAATCTTCAGAAATTACTGTGGGATCTAACAAAATAAATAAGAACTAAAAGTTCAGATTTTAAACGTGTCTTTAACAAATGTAATATTTACAAACTACTACTATATATCGAAGAATGACATTAAAACCTTAATTAATGTTGTGAGAAATTAAGTTTAATAATGGAGAGGTATTTAAATCTAATTCATCGTTAAGGAATACATATGAAAATTTAATTTTCTACATTTTGTGGCTGTATGTAAAATATCAAAATTGTCGTCAAAAATGTTTTTTTCCGTGATTAAGTGTGTAGCATAATTAGAATCTAGACTATTGTTTTTAAAGGCTCTTTTATGTTCGTTAATGCGTTTCTTGAAGGATCTACCTGTTTGGCCAATATAAATTTTAGGACAATATCCGCATTTCAACAGACACATGAGTTTTGAAACAAGATATGCCCATTAGACCAGTCGTGTCTTATGTAACAGTTCCAGCATATATATATATATATATATATATATATATATATATATATATATATATATATATATATATATATATATATATATATATATATATATATATATATATATATATATATATATATATATATATATATTTAAACGAAAAAGAAAAATTTAATGTTTACGTCCTGATACTTGACATCTCTTCTCTGCTATTATCTTTCCTATTTCTGGAGAAATTGTGTTTACAGTGATAACTTTCAACACTGACCCAAGGTGAGCATCATTGATACGGTTTCTAATAGGAGACTTATTACCTTTCATGACTGAAAATAACTGCTCGCACCGATAAGTACTACCAAACATGGAAATAATTTTATATGCGATTTTTCGAGTGTTTTCAAATCTGGCTGGTAAATATTTGTAAAATTCAGGCACGCCCACTTGAATGAATTTTTCTTTCAAATTTGAGTCGCATTGAATCTCGATCACCTTCATTTGCATATGGCTTGGTACTGAGTCTATACTTATTGAGAAAATCGAAGAAAACAATAAAAATTTGTCTTCGAGGGAACTAAAATCGTTAAACCTCATTTCAAATTCAGCTATTAAATTTGCAATTTTTTCTGCGTATTTTTGATACGAACAAGTATCATCTAAACTCGTTTTGTTCATGCTGCACGTCGGGAAGTGTGTCAAATCTTCATTTTTGAGTTGTTTTTCCCAAAAAAACTAATTTACATTTCAATGCTTTAATTATGTCAAACCTTTTTGTAATAATATGATCTTTCCCTTGTAACGATAAATTTAATTCGGTTAAGCGTTTGGTTATATCAACTAAGAAAGATAAATCTTGTATCCATATTGGATCGGAAAGTAAACTTAAGTCTTGATTTTTCATTTTTAAAAATTGACGTATTTCTTCTTTGAAATCCCAGAATTGTTTGAGAATCTTGGAGCAAGATAACCAACGTACCTCGGTATAGTAGGATAAACCCGAATATTCACTATCTAAGTCGCTTAAGAAAGCAGTGAATTGACACTGACTTAAGCCTCGAGATCTTATAAAATTTATAACTTTTTTTATATATGACAAAACATTCTCCATGTTTATTACCTTCGTGCATAGAACTTCTTGATGTATAATACAATGCGTATGATGAATGTTTGAACCGTGAATTTCACTAATTTTTTTTCTTAGTAATGCGACGAAACCCTTGTTTTTCCCGGTCATTGATGGAGCGCCATCTGTAGCGACAGAATTTAATTTTGCCAAAGATAGTTGGTATTTCTGCAGAAGTTCAAAAACACAAGTAAATATATCTTGTCCTGTGGTAGTACCAGGC